TTCTGTCTTTTGAAAAATCAAAGTGTTGTACGAATTGCTTAAGTATTGAATTATTCTGTTTCATTTTTTGAAACTTATTTTTCTATGTTCTCTATATATAATAATGCAAATTGTATATGCTTTTTTTCTAAGAAATTGATTTTCACACAAAAAAATTGTCAAAAAAAAAATTTTTTATGTTCGATAAATAATAAAAAGAATACTGTTTTCTTTTTAAATAAAACTAAAAATAACTATGTCATTAAGACTTTGTAATAATGCTAATAGCGGTCTTAAATTAAACGAATCGCTATCGAATAATGGTGAATATATCCTGGAAGGTGTGTTCGCTGAACTCGGTGTTATGAATGTCAATCATAGAATATATACCGAAGATGAGTACCTGAAGCATTTACAGTATCTTAGAGAAGACGTTGCAAAAGGTGATTTGCTCGGAGAACTCGATCATCCGGATGAGAGATTCGAGGTTAAGATGGAAGGCGTGTCACACCAGATCATCGATATTTGGTACGATCAACCGAATAAAATGGTTATGGGTAAAATCAAACTGTTGAGCACTCCGAAAGGTCAAATAGCTAAAGCTGTTGTTGACGCTGGAATTCCATTGCATATATCTTCACGTGCTGCCGGTACAATAAATAAAGACAATACAGTTTCAATACAACAGATTTATACGTATGATATTGTTGCTAAGCCAGGGTTTGCAAAAGCAACACTACATAGAGTGAATGAATCTGCGGCTCCCCTGTCTGCGGATGTTAAGTCGTTCTTGGAACGTTCTGAATTATTTGAAAGCAAAAATGCTTCCGACGATGTTATCGTTAATAATTTGGAAGCATCCGTTAATTTGAGAAAAGAAGCGATTGAAATCAATGAAGGAAAATCAACTATAATCGATATGGAAAAATTAACTAAGCACATCCTCAATGAAGACGAGGAACAGAAGAAAGATGCCGCTCTTGGTGTGTCGACTCCTTCTATGGATCCCGTTAAAGAAGCCGATGGCGACGATGAGGAAAAGAAAGGCACAGAAGAATCAAAGCCGGAAGAGACTGATAAAAAAGAAGAAACCGGTGATGATAATAAAGAAGAAAAGAAAGAATCGGATGCACCTTATGAGGTTATTTCCGCTAAAGTAGTATCTTCTAAATCCGATGATGATAACAAGGATGACGAAAAAGAAGAGGACAAAGAAGAGGACAATAAAGAAGAAGGTGAAGAAGATAATAAAGACGACGAAAAGAAGGATAATGAAGAAACTTCTGAATGTGGCACAGTCGAATGTGCATGTGGTGATAAGAAGAAAAATCCTATTTTCGACGCCAATGAAAAAAGTAAGGACGCAGTCAAAAAGGCGGATGCAGGTTTGAGCAAAATTGATGAACTCATTTCAGAACTTAAAAAGAAAAAGCAACCTGTTAATGACGGAGTTAAGGAAAGCTTAAGACAGAATTATCCGTTCACTGCATATTTGAACGAAAGTGATTTGGCACAATTCTCAGGATTGACCGACGAACAGAAAAGCAGAGTTAAGAAGTATCTGTTGGAGAATAATGTCGTATCATATGACGGCGTTCAAAGATTGTGGAAAAACGGTCTGAACGAAAACGCAAAAGCCGAACCAGTGTGGCTTAGATATGCTTCACAGGAATATAGAAAATTGTATGAGTCTGCATCAGAAGTTGAAAAGCAGAATTTGCAGGAAACCGCTCAATTCATCATTTTCGAGAACCAACACGATGTTGATGTGTTCTGGGAGAGAAGTGGTTTGAGAACAAGACGCGAACGTCAACTGTTGAAAGAGTCATTCTTACAGAACGCACCGAAGGTTGCAGAACAAGCACAGCGCGTCTATAATGAACTGCCTTACACAAAAGAAAGTCTGCAAGTATATCTGGATATGGTCGATTAATCGGGCATAAACTGGTAAAAAACAAAAAACAAAAAATAATTTGCGGATTCCTCAATAAATAATAAAACGGGGATTTCGTAACCCTTAAAGAAAAATAAAATAAAATAAAATGGATACAAATAAGAAAAATTCTGCAATGATTAGAGAAATGTGGTCTCCAGTCGTTGAAAAACTGACCGAAGGTCTTGTAGACGCTAAGTCAGATCGTATGGGTTGGATCTGTGAAGTTGCTCACAACCAACACATTAACGAAGCCGAAATGGCTCCTGATACCGTTGGTGGCGTTCATATGCCTATCAGCAATCTCCAAAATACTCTTGGTATTGGTAATGCAGTTCCTGCTTCTATGGCTGCTATGACCGGTGCTGACCAAAGTGGTCGCGCTAACATGGGCTCTGGCGACAAATGGCCTTCCATGCTGCCTCTCGCAGTTCAGGTTGCTGCTCGCACAATCGCTCTTGACCTCGTAAACGTTCATCCTCTCGAGGGTCCTACTGGCGTTCTTCCTTTCATGGATTACGTATATAGCGATTCTAAGAATCCTTACGGTGCAACTCCTTCATACGATGCTTCTACAGCTAACCCAATGTATGATCTCGGTGGTACTCGTGAGACTCCAGTTGAGAAACCTTGGAGCCTTTACAGCATGCCTTCAGTATTCCGCTGCAAAATGTCATGTAAAGACGCTTCTATGACTCGTAAGGACATCGCTAAAGCTCTCCGCGAAGATGCTTCTATCGAAATCGCAAACGACAATGGTGATTCTATCGTAGCTCAGTTCATTGGTTACAGCCGTCTGTCTGCTGATCCTATGTTCCGCGTAATCGGTAATCCTAACAACATTTCTCTCGGCACTCTGTTCGAGGGCGAAACCTGCAACATTGAGAATCCTGCTCTGACTCTTTGCGAGCCTCGTCTGATCTCCATGCTCGAAGACCAAATCCTTGGTTATGCTGGTTCAGGTCAATATGATGGTGCTCCTATGAGCGGTACCTTCGAAAATCCTTTCGAACTGTATGAGCCTATGGATCGCGCTACTGGCGAAATCCAATATCCTCGTCACCTCTCACTTCAAGTGTTCACTAAGTTCATCCAAGTTGGTAAGATCCAAGTTGCTGTTGCTGTTACTCGTGAACAAGTTTCTGACCTCCAGAAGCAATGGGGTATCGATGTATTGAAGATGGTTGAAAACGGTGGTTTGAACGAACTCACCCAACACATCAACAAGCACATCCTGAGCCGTCTGTTCGCTCATGGTTGGAGAAACCACATTGAAGCTTATGAAGCAGAAGGTATCAACCTCAACCTCTCTCTCGTAGAAGGTGAAGGCGCTATGGATTCTATCTGGTTCGCTTACAATAAGGACGGTCAAGTAATGCGTGGCGAAGATGCTACCATGAAGATCAATAAAGCTCAATACTACGGCGCATTCGAAAATATGGACACCAAGTTCTCACGCGTTTCTAAACTCGTTAAGACTGCTGGTAATGTTATCATGCAACGTAGCCGTCGTGGACCTGCTACCTTCGTTGTAACCAACCAAAAGGTTGCTGCTCTGCTCCAAGACTCAGCCAACTACACATTTGCTCCTATGGCAAATACCTTCAACCAAACCAATGGTAACCTCTATCCAGTTGGTACCGTAGCAGGTATGACTGTATATGTTGATCCTTATATGAGATATGATGATACCCGCGTACTCGTTGGCCGTAAGGGTGCTAAAGACGAACCCGGTGTGTTCTTCTGCCCATATTTGATGGCTGAAAGTGTTAACTTCATCGATAAAGACACATTTGCTCCTAAGGTTGTTATCCAATCTCGTTACGCTCTCGTAGACGCTGGTTGGTACCCCTATCTCAGCTATCTGACACTCTTCATCGATCTGCCAGAGCAACTCTATTAATCTAATATAGAATTGTGAAAAAGGATGGAATCCGAAAGGGTTCCATCTTTTTTGTTTATAAATTAAAAGATTTTTATAAAAACATTTGCACAATTGAATAAATTGTTGTATCTTTGCACACTAAACGATCTGAGAGATTTGAAGTTAATGGACATGCTTCACATTTCGGTAAAAATTTAAATGAATATTTTTTATATACAAAAAATAACGATGATAATAGAAAAAGGAAATCTATCCACGTTGGATACGTGGGTAAGAGGTGGTGACGATGTTGAATACGTCGATGCCAATAAATTGAACGAAGGTTTGATATTGTCATATAGTCCGAATTCATGCAAGAAACATTTGATGCATGTGTTCGATTATGTGTTTGATGTTTATTGCTTCGATAAGTACGAAGATCGAAAAATAGATTATGTACCATTTTTTACTGATGGTGAGCAGTTATCGAAGTATTTTCCGAAGTTTGTTGTTGCTGTCAATCAATATCTTCCGAATTATGATAAGTTGAATGGTGTTGTTGAGAATCTGTGCGGGTGGAAACCATTTGTTGTTCGTTTGACATTTCATCGTAAGCAATATAAAACGGATGTCAGAGTGACGCTGCGATATGATGAATATGTAAATGTGTATCCTCTTGGAAGATACGGTACGAATGATATTTCTGAATTGGTTTTTGATTATGCTGAAATATGTTACCTTGCTAAGTATTCGACTGCCGTTGATGTAAAGACTGATTATTTATATCATGTTTCGGATGGATATGAATTTGATAAAATTGCAAAAAAGGTCTGGTGCCGAGAAACAAAAAAAGTTATGAATTTGAACGCATATATGTTGCGGATGATTTGTGTGCATATGACACGTTGGTTAGTTTCGATAAAGATGCGTTGTGTGTGTTGTACAGGATTCCGAGACGGGCGTTTGATAAATTATATATAGATGAAAAGCATCCGCACTGTTATTATTGTTTAAATAGTGTTTCTCCAGATGATATCGAAGTTATGACGGTTGAGAAAGGATTCGTTCCGGTTAAAGAGGAAGTTGAAAGGATTACACATTAGAAACGATAAGACATCTAAGGACAATTGGATTACTGAATAAGTTTTCCACAAATTAAAAGATTTTTATAAAAACATTTGTACAATTGAATAAATTGTTGTACCTTTGCACAAAATTTTGAACATGGGTAAATTTTACGATATAGATCCGAATACGTGTAGTATTGAAGAATTGAAGGGCGCGATAGCATCGTGTAATGCAAACGTCGAATTGTTCGGAGCACTTGAACAGGGTTGTAAAAAGTTCATTAACTCCGTGTATGGTGCACTCGGCAGTCGTTATTATGTCTGTGCAAACACTGCAATTGCCGAGTCTGTGACGTTACAGGGGCAAGATTTGATCAAGTTCTCGTCGAGAAAAGTCAATTATCTTGTGCATGAGTTGTGGCATAAAATAAACGACGTTGTGAAACCGAAGGCGTTTATTATGGATGAGAATGGAAATCTTGTCAAAGTGATTGTCTATACGACTCCTGATGAAGAATTGGAATGTTTGTGTGAAACAGGCAATTATATTTTTGTCAGTGATGATTCGATATTGATTGGATATGATTCTTTTATCGACATATTGAAAGACAATAAAAATTTGAAAATGGTCGATTGTGAATTGGTGAACGGAGATAAGAAGACGACTGGTAAAAAGATAGAATTGAATTATGAATCATTGAAATATGTCCGTAGTTATCTGAACATTTATCGTCGTATCGCACATGATATGGTTAAGATAAATCCCGAGTTTGATGTTGATGCTTTTATGGTTAATTGTCTGACACAAGTTGAGTATCCAAAAGAGACGCAAAAGTCATCAAGTGATACTTTAGATGAAAATGGTAATCCATTGAAAATCAACACTTTACAGGTATATGGGGATACCGATTCTTCTTACTTAACTCTACAGCCCCTCATTGAATCATGCAAAATTTCTCCTGAGATGGCGACAAAATTCATATTGTCATTCAACGAGCATGTCATGTCCGGATATCTGAATCTTCAATTTGAAAGTTATGCGAAGAAATTCAATTGTCCGGTCAATTTGGAAAATTTCGAATTGGAAAAGGTTGCCCGTTCTGTCGTTATGCAGAAAAAGAAGAAATATGTGATGGATATTGCTTGGGATGATTCGAATACATTTTATGAACCATTGCATAAAGTCACGTTTTCTGGAGTTGAGGCCGTTAAGGGTGAGTCATCCAAATTCATACGTAATGAGCAGAAGGAATTTGTTCGGTGGATTATCGATAACATCAATAATGGAAAGAAATTGCGCTATCCGGAAATAGTTTCAAAAATCAAGCAGATCAAAGACCGTTTTCGCATGGCTAATCCGGATGATATATGTATTACCAAATCGATGTCGGATTATGAAAAATACATTTTGAACGATAAGGGTAGCACGATTCGTTATGTTGAGACGTTGGCTGAACAGAAGAAACAGCTCAGCGACGACGTTGATGATTTGTTCGATGATGAGGATTCTCAAGAGGAAGAGCAGGGTCAAGGAAGAACGATATCTGTTCCGTTCCATGTCAAATCGGCTGCTTGGTATAACAATTTATTATATACGACCGCGAAAAGATATCGTTCCAAATATGAAATAATTCACAAGGGTGATAAAGTACTCTGCGTTGATACCACTGCTT